CTGATATAGTGATACTTATTTATTTACAACGCGTGTATGTTTCAGGAAGCGATGGTGAAATTGATGCGACCAACGCCTACACTACCAATGGAGCATCCTCTACTCAGTTACGAGTGCCACGAATCCGATAGATGGACGTCACATGAAATGGACGCGTTCTATCAGGGACTGCTCAAGTACAACAAGGACTTCTCCGCGATTTCGCGGGACGTCGGTGCCAAGACTGCGAAACAATGCGTGCAGTTCTACTACCTTTGGAAGAGGCTCTGTCCTGACGAGTACAAGAGTCTGCGTATTTGTCATGGAAAAGCGAAGATCAAGAGCGAAATTAAAGATAGCAAAGATACCAAAGAGCTACGCGACGCCATCGCGTCCGTGTCGGAAATGGACTTTAGTGAAGACAAATCAATCCTTCATCGTACACTGGTAAGCTTAAATATATTTAGTCGCTTTTGAGTTTAACAATGCAATACTAATACATAAACTAATAATACTAAATTACATAAAAGCGTAAATGTGAATATGAAAACATATTCTTTATTTTGTTGTCTATTCAGCTACAATCAAGCGGAAGAGAAAATTCGGCGACTCTGACCACTAGCGAAGGAGAGCTGAGGTTATTCGCATACGACTGTACAGATGTAAGTAATAATACTTCTTATTATACGACCATCTCACGTATAATTGTTCTTACAATTAATTACACGAGGACCACATATCTAACTCTTGATAATAATTATTCAAAGTCAAACTAAAGTTAACTTAAGAATAAATTTAAATCTCAATTAGGCAATACACATTGCTGTAATATATTTTAATAGAATATTATAAAACAAATCAACTGATTCAGAGAAAAATATACATTCACATAAGTTATTTTTATGTCTGCTGCTCACCGCATATCCTATTTCTTCACGTATGCCGAGTACGAAGAATTTTTTTAAATATATATTACATTTCGATTATACTTTTTAATATAAAAGAATAATTTTTGTCTTTGTAAAATATTATTTGATATCAACTTTATTTAACAATTTCGTACTCGGTGTCAAATATCTTACACGCATAGATACGTGTGAAGATACCTAAGTGTCGCATGAGATTGATTGCTGATCCGTCGTTTTCTCACGCTTCATTTTAAGAGAATCGAGGATGTTGTGCGTTGTGTGACCGTTGCGTTACTTATCTGTCGTCGCCGTGTCGTTTGTTTGTGTTGTTTATTTTGGCTTTGTGTTTTCTTTGTGTTGTCAGAGCTTTAGCGGAAGTGTAACAGTAACGATGGCCGGAAGCACCCAAACCGCCCAAATCGGCAATACCAGCCACGCCACAGTCAACACCAACTCACAAACTCACACTAGTTCTGAGCAACAACTACCCGTGCCTACCCCACTTCACTACCCCTGCAAGATTTGCGGGAAGTAAGTCTCCAATCTCTAATCTAAATTATCCATTTCCAATAATTAACGGCGGAGCTCATGCTCTAACGGCAAGTATTGGCGCATTTCACATAGAGATCCTTGCTTGTAGAGGGACAGAATGCATATGATCTAAAAATGAATATAGTGAACCGATGCCACACACACAGTTATATAATTTCAAAATTTTATACATATACGTGGTATATACCACGTGTATATACTTCGTCAAATGATTCGTAACAATAAAAATAAAAACTATTTTAAGCAAATTAATGCAACAGCAAAATACATTTTGAAAACAGAAATATAATTAAACAGCATCTTTGAATACTTTGAAAAATAGAATCAACCCTGTACATAACTTGTGATAAAACTGATTTTTTTTCTTGATAAACTACATATTGATACATTTTTAGAAACTATATACACAAACGCCATTCACGATATACATCACGATTTACTAAAACTTAATATTTTTAATAAATAAATATGACAACGATATTTATTGTATAATATACCGTTATTAATTTTGTTTGATTTACTGCTGAATTCAATTAAGATATTTACGAACATTTTTAATCCGTTTTTTGCCATTGGCGATTTTGATTAATCATTTAATTTTTTGTTAAATATGCCTGGCACATTCTTATATTCTATCAATATTTTAATTTGCTGCCTATATTCTCCCAATTGTATTTCTCTATGTCTTACTTTCCAATAAAAATATATGTATAAATCGGCTATATGGTATGTTATATATAATTAAAATCAAATGCATAACGCAAGCATGATTTGTTAGACTGCTGTTGCTATGTCGATATTTCCGACTTTTTACATTGTGTATTAAATATTTGTAAACTTACACTATGAGTGTCTTCAGACATAATCCAATGCTTGCAGAAATGTTTCTGAATGTGTACTTAAATTTCAATTATTTCTACGTATATTTGCATTATTTCTTATGAATTATTAACACGCGAATCTCATAACAATCTTACAACCGGGAGCGTGTTTATGCGTGTAGACTTCGCAATGTTAGATTTTGTTCATGTTTCGTTCAATCTCCCTAATGTATATATATA